TGGAAATGCACTTCTGAAGCTGTAAGCAAGCAAACCTTTTCTGCAGCTGTTAAGACATTTTATCATTGAAGCAATAAGTTTTCGCTTTCTGGCTATTCTCGACAGAGGTAGCGCAATCTGTATTATGTTGTAGAGCAAAATACGCAGCAATCAAACTGGTTTCTTGAATACTTAAAAGAAAACCTAAGAAAACTAGCTGGTTTCTTCTAGCTGCTTTTGGTGGATTAACGTACTGATTTTGTGACTTTCTAGTGGGCGTGGTTTTTAAATTTGTTCTTGCGGAAAAGTACAGTTTACTTGTGGTTCCCATCACAGTATTGTTACATATCTGGGCTCCCCGCTAGTTAACAAGGCTCATTCTGTACGCATGCGGTGCAGTGGACTTGTACGAATCGGATACTTTGACTTACCCGTTAGTCGTACAGTTCACTTATGGTTAGTCTTAAATTGTACTTGTAGTTTCGCAGCCGTTTTAACGAGCGGGATTCCCAGAAATGTAACTGTAATGTGGTGGGACCCCATATTATATATAAAATTTGTCAAAGTATACGAAGCGGCAAGACACTACGGCAGATAGGTACCGAGGAACACGAGTTCTATCCTCGCTATATATTTCGCATGCGCTTTCCCTAATGCGCTTATGACTGTTGAATGCTGTACTTATTGCAACTTTCTCACCTGCTTCCAGTTCTTTCTTGCTCGGTTTACGCTTTTCCAGTGTCTTGTGAATGTGATCCCAAGCATCGTAGTGGATGCACCGCAACAGGGACGCTGGAATGCGTTCGAACTGCTGGTAACTGACCTTTCCGATGTCTTCTTGCAAATCTTCTTTTGTCAAGCATCCGCGGAACATTTCTGGACCAAGCTCCTGCTCGGTCTTTCCTGAAAGTGCTTGAACCGCCTGAGGAGAAAAGACAATCGCCAGTATTTGCAGACCTTCAGTCAGCGACCTTGGAATTTGGTTGGAGTGCACAGTCTCTTGGTTTGCTTGGCCTGCATTCTGCTGCTTCTTCGAATTTTCAGGTGATGGCCGTGACGTACCTATTGATAACATCCGACTTATAAAAAAGTGTGTTAGCTTTGTGTTAGCTTTGTGTTGACAGAATAAGACCAACTGCATTTTAAGCGGTAGGTTCACGCCTAGGGTTAAACAAAAACGAAGTAAGCTGGTCATTCTCACCTTTCTGTGCCCTGCTATCAGCAACTTGCTCGCAAGCCTTTCGCTTCTTCTCAGACTTGTCTGCTTTCAAATCTTTTACATTCACTGTTTCCGTTGTTTTATCCGCTGTTGACTCAATCACAGCTTTGTGACCTCTGTTCAATATTTTGACGACTACGAACGGTCCAACATATTTGGGGATTGTCACGTCCTTGCCTGCGAGCTTCCCGCGAACGTTTTTAACGTTCTTATGTAGGACTAACATTCCCGGATGAAGGTCTAACTTGTTTTTCTGGGACTTCTGGTAAGCCTTATCTTGTTTCCGCTTCCCCGCAGCTATATTATGAGAAATTTGTTCGAACCACGGATTCTCTTCGCTTTCTTCCACTTGCACGTTTTCACTATCCGCCTGTCCATCAACGTTACCAAGATGTTCAGCCTTTTGCAGCGGAGCGCTGTCTGACCCAAGTGATTCAGGCGTAGCAGATCGGTCTTGTAAAGCTGTTAAATCCTCATGATTAACTGATGGAAAATCACGGATTGTAGATTTTCTATGGAACATTATTTCAAATGGAATTTCTTTGGTCACGCTATGTACTTTGTTGTTCTGACCCCAGATAACAGAGTTAACGTGATCGCTCCATTCACCTCCATGCTCCATGACCTTTCGATTCAGATCCCTGCAGGCATCAAATGCTGTTAACGAAAACTATATGTTTGACACATGAAAAGCTTGTTCTAATGCCGTTTGTCTACTTATGTTGATCAAAACAGTGACAGCTCGGTAGCTAACAATATGAAAATTTCAACTATCGTCGCGCATCGTATTTACTTGCGTAAGGTGACAAGTCAACTTACAACTTAATTTGGTTATTTAGGTTTTCAACCTGACCGCATGTGCGCGGATGCCGCGGCTGGGCGAAAGGGTGTTCCACTCCAAGAAGGCGCTCCATTTGATCATTCTTTACATTTTTGAATTCGGTTCCTAGCAGCAAATTTTTTTAATACAATACAACTTCTGTAGATTCTGGTGATTAATCATGGTAGGGGAAAGAAAGGTTATGAATTTCTTTACCTTTACCCGAAATGATTGCTTCAGGAGTTCCAAAGAGGGAAAACGTGCGGTTAAGCTTTTTCACGATCGTATCAGCTTCTTTATTCTTGATCGGATAAGCTACCCGAAATTTGGAAAAGTAGTCGATTATCGTCAGCAGGTATTTGTGGCCGCGTGATGTTTTCTTCAGGCTTATCAAGTCGTATCCCAGTAGGGCCCATACTTTTGAAGGAACGCTCACTGAAGCTAACGGCTCCTTTGACTGCCTCCAGGCCTTTACCCTGAGACTTGCAGACATCACAGCCATCAATCTGCAACGTTCAAGTGGATCCAGTTAATACACAATATTCCAGTGCAGGGTCAAATGATACGTTGGTAACCAATTGCTCAATGTCAAAAATTTTGTACTACAGCGCAACTTCATTTATAATTTTTAAAACCGTATATGTATATCCAATATTTCTTAAACCGTATATCCAACATTTCTTAAACCGATGCAGCCAAAGTAAACGTTCGTACCAATTTTCAGCGCAATCGACATTTTCTTACCACTTCCTGCACCGTGCTTCGCATACCGTCCCAAAAAAAATCCCTGGCAATCGTTTGCTGCAATGCATCCCTTCTGGCATGACCGAGCTTTCTGAACAACGAAAACAGTTTATTAGATTCACACTATAACAACATTACTTTAGCTTCCATGCCATACAAATTAAAGTGAGTAGTAAGCTTGAGTTAATTTTGCGACGAAGCGGTTTTATTATTTATAAACCTGGCGATGGAGTGGTTTATTAATTAAGTTCGCTGAGGTTCGGCATCTCGGAAATTAGAAATCGTTTATTCTGACTTCTCTAGAATCACTTACACAATTCCTCTGCTGTTAAAAACATACAATATGAATGTCTGTACCCACAGCTGACAAATGTTATGCAATTTCCAACATGAGTCCAACATGGCAGAATTGTCATGAGGCGCTGCATTGCTCACTCAAAGAGCAGGTTTGAGCCTTATCACCGCCTTTGCAAAAACCCGGATGTCTTCGTTGCACTGTAAGCTTGTTTTTTATATTTCCTCAAAACCATACATAAACTTAACTTTCGGATACACTGCAAGCTAACGAAACCACTGTGAGCCATGGCTGTACTCACGTCCACCCTCACGCCTGTGTGGCGTTAAGCGGATGACGTCAGTGCGTTGTGTCTCCTCTGATTGGCTGTAGGTTTGTGCTTGTGGGCGCGTCTATGCGCTGCGAAGAGCGTTGATTTAGCTCTTCGCTTGGCAGATTTGCCAGTGTTCAGTCATGTTGATGAGCTGATTTTACACTCAATAAAAGTGTATCTATGCTAGTGGATGCCGTGCGTTGAGCATTTATCCAGATTTCATAGCATACTACGCTACGCAGGGATCCTGTCAGTGGGGATCACTGTCCTGACCCATTCTGGAGTACCACGTTATATGGCAGAGCCCGTAATCTGCGGTGCTCGAGTTTTATCCGATTGGCGAACGGCCATATTGATCTGTTTGGCGAACGGCCACGTGGAATCTGGATCGATCGACATTGATCGACTGTACCAGTAAGGCACTGGTTTTCTCAGCCGGAAGCAAGGCGCATTTCAACGGATTGCCAGCGGGAGTGGCACACTGAGTCAAGTATCTCCTGTGGAGATCTTGTCTCGTGTTTTCAAGTCAGACGGCAGCTGGCCGCGGTGCAGGTCTCTCCTGTGGAGAACTTGTGCTGTTACCACTGCTAGGCAGCGAGATCCTCTGTAGAGGACGAGGCTGCTGGGCACAGGCGCCGAGAAGCCACGAAAGTTGGCAGCACCGAAGGAGGTGCCAAAGAGTTCAGTTTTACGCGCTCCACCAAATTGGCTGTAGAGCGACCTGCTGGTAGGCCTGACAAGCCCAGCAGAAGGCAGACGAGGTCGGAAAAGGAAGGCGCCAAAACCGTGCGGAATACGGCTGCGCGGGATCGGATCGTGGAGAAGAAAACGCGATCATCTGGATCATTTTGGCGGAAATCGGATCGGTAACCAGGTAAAAAACCAAATTAATTATCGGATTACAGCGCAGAAAGCGCAATTTTCATTGGTCGACACTGAGCTGAGACAGACGTAGGCGGAACTTTTGCACCGGCGCAAGTCTGGCCGTCGATCTGTGACGTCACGTAGGTCAGAAAAACTTAGTGGGTTCACGGGATTGGTCAATTATATGAGCTGTGATTGGTCGAAATTTTACCGGTAAAACTGGGCTAAACGATCTGCAATGAGCTAATAAGCATCATAATTGATCTTTTCTCAGCATAATTGATCTGATATGAGCTAGTAGGAGCTGTTTTTGACAAAAATAAGTTGAGGAAAAAGTTGACCAATCGAACCTGAGATCGATCTCTGACCTTGAGCTGAGCTGATAATGACCTCCACAGATGAGTTGAGATGATCTAATTTGATCTGATATATGAACTTTTCCATCGAAATTGATCTATTCTGAGATAAAACGAGCTGATTCTAATTGAAACGAGCTGAGTAACAGGTGATCTGAGCTGAGCTGAGATCGATCAGCTGATCTGAAAACGAACTCGAAACGAACTTTTAGCAGCTCAGTTGACATCCGTAGCTGATCACCAGCGACTCCGAAGCGAGCTTATTGAACTTTTTATTGAAAAAGTGATCCTCTAAAACGAACCGAGCTCGTCTCCTGAGCTGATAAAGTGAACTATAGGGATCATAACGATCATACTATAACGTGTGTGTGAGATAAATCGACAGGTGCGTCTGAGTTATCCGATTAAAGATGGAAAAGGAGATCGATGAACCGACATCTAACAACAGTCAGGGGAGCCGAGGCTCTCACGGATCTCAGCAAGGAGCACCTAATCCGTATAAAAAGGACTTGAAACCATACACACGTCCCGTCGCACATGATCGGAGGACCCGGGCACCTAAAGCCTTTGAGAGGAAGGACTCTCGAGGCTCGGATGCGACCTACCAGAAGGCACTCGAAGCAGTGTCAGGTCAGGAGAGCTCCAGCGACGACCGGAAACGATCTCCCGCGTCTGCGGCGGGAAGCAGCGAGGTGAACCAGCAGGTCACCAAAGAAGGAACGAGCTCACAACGAGCTAAGGAGGTGGATGCGACATCACAAAAGGATGTCAAGATCAGCCCTGCCACGTCGGAGCAGGTCAAAGATGCCAATCTGGCCGAACCAGACCTCATTGAACAGTCACAAGATGAGAAGCTTGATGAGCTGAAGCTGGACGGCATCTCACTCAACGATGACGTCACAATAGAAGATTTGTTCGAGAGTCCAATGCAGTTTGATGAGATGATGCGAAATCAGAAGTTCACCAATGAAGAATCGTACCTCACTGATGATGAGGTGACATTGAATACGTCATTCAGAACTGCAATGAAGGAAGCTGATCGAGCTGAAGGAATGACATCGTTCAGTGATATACCCGAACACCTCATCGAACGAACTCAAACAGGGAAGATCATTAATGTCCAATCTCCATCTCCGAACAGACCCACGTCAAACCTGAAGAGGCAGATCAGGAGTTACAAACGTCACTGGAAGATAAAGAATGCCAGTTACTCCAGAAGAAACAGGAATACCAGAAGCGGATAAGCTCACTCGAAACTCACGTATACGAGATGGAGCAACAACAGGGCATTCTGGAAAATACGGCAACCGAATGGAAGATCAGATATGAACGCCAAAAGGAGCTCGCCGAAGAAGCCCAGAAGGTGGCTGATGATAAAGAAGTTGAAAAGTTCATCGCCGTGGATGAGCTCAATGAGAGCATGTCTGAAGAATCAGCTGAGAGATCACGGCACATAGCTGAATTGAAGGATCAGTGTGATGAGCTTCGCAAGAAGGCGAACGAAGCAGAATCTAAACGGAACGACTATGCGATCAAGTTAGCCGAGGCCACACAACGATTGGCAACGATGTCAACAGATATGCTCAAGCTCAGAAACGATCTGAAGCTGCGGGACGAGAACATTGTCACCCTCAAAAGCGAGTCACAAGCTCATCAGAAACGAGCTGATGAAGCACTTCAGGTGGCAAAGGAGCTCACAGAGCTCGGAGCAACTGAAGGGGAACGACTAAAAGCAGGAATCAAAGAAGTAAATGAAGAAAACGAGAAGCTCACAGAAGAAGTCAAGGAATTGACATCGGAAAGTCATAAGTGGCGAACTCAAGCGCTCCGGCTGGACACAATGGTCACAGCGCTCGAAATAGCTGAGAAAGAACAACAAGGAAAAGTTCACGAGCAGCTTGAAGAGAACATCAGG